CTCTGCCTCCCGAGTGCTGGGATTAAAGGCGTGCGCCACCACCGCCCGTCTGATAATCTATTTTTTAAAAGAGGCAACTGAATAAAAATTGGATTGCTAGAATTCAAACCAAAGCCATATGACTTTGCGTGGAGCACCGAAGACACGGTGTTGCTTACCCGAGAGGGTGTGGGCGATGGAGATTACTAGTGTCACATGCAATGCAAGGCTCCTCACCTGATAGAAGGTGATGATGCTCTTGAGAGTCACAACTGAATTGGATCTCCATGGGGCACAACTGGACACCTCAGGAAACAACTGGAGAATTACCATTTCTTCCTTAAGATCCTCTTGTCCACATAACGGTCTGAAGCCTGCAGGCAGAGGAGAGATGTCCTTCCTGAGACTAGGGCTTCTAGATACGAAAAAAAAGTGAAGGAGAAAAAGCTTATTCAGCTTCCATGTGCTTTTCCTCTTGGTGAAAGCTTCCTTTCTGATCGTCCAGGAAGTGGGAATTAACCCTCTCCAACACAGTTCCCCTTGAAAGATGAGAGGTGTTCAAACAAGACTGGAGATCAATAATACTAAACTAGAGGTCTAACTGGAGCAATAATGCCGGGGTGGGGGTTAGTATTTGCACTAGAAATTACGATTGTGTTATTCTCTGTCTTCCTTCACTTCTAACACTCACAAGTCAGGTATCTCTTTTCCAGCTGCGCAGGCTGATTACTGGGGGTTCACCCACTTCGCGGTTCCACTAGCATCCCAACATTTCGGACGTTCATGCAGTTGAATCGAAGGCCCCGTGAGCACAGGCTAGCTGTGCACAGAACACCAAGCTGAAAGACCCCCAGGGGAGATCTTCCCTCAGGGAGAGACCCCAGACCCGGGAAACACACCGAAACCACAGATCAGATGCAAACAGCAAGAGGCTTTATTGGGTGCACAGGTACCTGGGGCCAAGTCTCTCGGAGGACTTGCGCGCCTACCGAGGGCAAAGGGGACTTTTTATGGGATTTCAGGGGCAGAGGCGCGGTTACAGAAGCGAGAAGCATAGTTACAGGGTCCCTATTGGCTGTTTTACAGAGGGCCAGGGTGAACTTGGGGTCGCGTTCAGAAGTTTGATGTGTGGCTGACTTGGCCTTGCCCAGGCCAGCTGCTTATTCTTCAAGGCCAGGGGCCCGCCATAAAATATCAACTGTCTTACTCCCAAGGCCGCTGACCCAATTATCCCCTATCTTAGGCCCGATGGCTGGCCATAGTTATCTTTTTCTTCCAAGGCCGGCTGGCTAGTTAGTCACAGCTGTGAACTCCTGTCTTTCTGATTCCTGCAGAATGGCGTTTCTAAGGCCAAGTTATTGGGGGGGCATAACATCGGCCCAACGCCCCATATCCTCATAATGGAGTGGGGTCCTTCAAAGCCATGAACCCACTTGCTGTCCGTGGCCAAGAAGCCACGCTGACCCTCCAATGCTGGAGAAAGTGCCTGTCAAACATCCCCCCCCACCTTCCGGACGCTCCCTCGGCCGCTCTAGGAATCTGGGAGGATCACAGCTCTATGGTGCATCATCAAGCAGGCGCAGGGAGAATTAGGAGCCTGGGCAGTTCCCAAAAGCGGTTCCTTCCAGCTTTCGCCAGACACTCGCTTGGCCCAAAGCTCATCCTTTGCTGCGGTTTACTGGTTCTTGAGGTGAATGTCAAAATCCATCATCTTTCGGAAAAACTCTCAGGACCGGGTATTTTCCTGACCAGATTGAATCCCGTGCCTCGTTTCTCTGCTGCATCTGCCTCTGTCCACCCCCGTCCCCAGCACTTAATCACTTTCCTAAGTGAACTTCCTAAGTTTATTCCTCTTTTTTCCCTCCCTCTCTCCTCCCTGCCATCCATCCATCCAGGCACATGAATATGCTAGTTAAACATTCTACTACTGAACTATATCCCCCGCTGACTTTTACATAGCCCCCCACCCCACCCCACTTGTTTTAGTTAGGGTTTCTATTGCTGCAATGGAACACCATGACCAAAAAGCAAGTTGAGGAGGAAAGGATTTATTTGGTTTACTCTTCCATATCGCTTTTCATCACCAGAGGAAGTCAGGACAGGAACTCAAACACAGCAGGATCCTGGAGGCAGGAGCTGATGCAGAAACCATAGAGGGGTGCTGCTTGCTGGCTTGCTTCTCAGGGCTTCTCCAGTCTGCTTTCTTACAGAACACAGGACACCACCAGCCCTGGGAAAGGCACCACGCACCATGGACTGGGTGCTCCCCTCTCAATCACTAAGTAGAAAATGCCCTACAGTTGGATCTTATGGAGGCCTTTCCTCAGTTAAGGTTCCCTCCTCTCAGATAACTAGTTTGTGTGTCAAGTTGCCATAAGCCTAGCCACTGCCCTCCCTCCCCCACTTACTAAGCCAAAGCCCAGGCCTTGAATTTTCAGTGCTTCTGTCTGAGCCTAGTGTTGCTGGGATTCCAGATGTCTCACTAGACTGACTCATTTCGTTCTCTCTCTCTCTCTCTCTCTCTCTCTCTCTCTCTCTCTCTCTCTCTCTCTCTCTCTTAAAAACGACATTATTTATTTAGTGCGTATGTGTCTTTGCACATGCTATAACATAGCATGAAGGTCAGAGGAAAAATTGCATTAATTGGCTGTCTCCTTCCATTTTGTTGAGTCCCAGGAATCGAATTCAGGTCATGAGCTGTGGCAGCAAGTGCCCTTATCCACTAAGCCAACCCTGCAGTCCTCTTGTGTGGCGGTGCGTTTTGTTTTGCTTTTTGTTTTTGTTTTTGTTTTGTGAGATAGGGTCTAGCTGTATTTCTCTGGCTGACCTGGAACTCACTATGCAACCCAGGTTGTCCTTGAACTCCTGCCTTAGGTTCCTGAGTGATGATTTTAGGTGTGCATTACTACACCACCCCCCCTTTTCATCATGAAATGGCTTTCCTTATTGATACAGCATCAATGTTCAACCACAGAAGCAACAACAGTAGTAGCATGTATGTGTTACATGTATATACTTAGGGAAATTGACTTATACAAACACAGGAACTGGTAAGGTAGTCCTGTAATGCTCATGTGTCTATGAGTCTAATGCTGGAACCTGATATGGATCAGGCAGAAAGGAACATAGGAGCAATGTGGAAGAAAGCCTCGTCAAGCTAGGAGCCACAGTGTTAAGTTGAAATTCACAATCATGGAATGAAAACCTGGGTTAACATTATTATTGTCGTTTTTTTTTTCTTTTTTCTTTTTGAGAAAGGGACTCTATTATGTAGCTCTGACTGTTCTAGAACTCATTATATAGACCAGAACTCCCAGAGATCCACCTGCCTCTGCCTCCTAAATGCTGAGACTGAAGGTGTGTGCCACCATGCCTCCCTAACTGGAATTTTCTTAGGACTATGTGAATTTATTTATTAATAAGTATTTCTGTATTAGATGCTGTGCTACAACACACACACAGCATTTAGAATGGCCTTCGAAAACCTGAGCCCTCAGCTTGGAGATTCATGGAGAAGTGAGGAGATGCATGCAGAATCATGTGTCATGACTGCAGGATTACACACTGTACAAAGCTCAGTGTATAACAGAACTAGGGCCAGAGAAAACAGCAAGAACATTGTCTGTTCTTTTTGTTGTTTGTAATCACGTTTCCCCCTGCCCCCCATTCTTCTTTTTTAGTTTTTGGAGACATAGTTTCTCTGTGTAACAGTCCTGGCTGTCCCAGAACTCACTCTGTAGACCAGGCTGGCTCAAACTCACAGAGATCCACCTGCTTCTGCCTCCCCAGTGCTGGGATTAAGAGTGTTGTGCCTCCACGGCGGGCTGTAATCTTGTTTTTAAGAAAACATAAGTGATGCATATAAATGACTAGCTTTGTTGGAAGGCCTGTGTGTAGTTCACCATCTGAAAGGTATTTCAGAACCTGTTTAAGTATTGTATGAGGCTCAACACTTATATTTTGATTTAATCCTTTTTTTTTTTTTTTGGCATTCAGGAAAGCCGTATGCCTCAAAACAATGATCTTAATAAAGTTGAGAAATAATCATTATCAACGGGGGTCCTTTGCGGCCAGATCAATTTGAGAGAAAAGTACACATTATTTTAATTATCAATAGCTTCATGTGGCCAATAGTGTCCATATTGGATAGCACGGATACTGAACACACACACCTTGAAGACCTAATAGTCTCTTCCACGCACTGACTTGATTCAGCTCTCAAGCTCTGGTTCACCGTAATCTTTGATTGCAATTTTATCATCTATTCAGTCACTCCCTTTCCCCAGCACGCCCCCCAAAGAGCGCGGCAGCCACAGAATAGTAGTCCTCCGGGGTTCCTAGAGGGGCATGCTCATCCCCACTTCCGGGGGGCGTGCTTCTAGTGGCTTCCCCGCTTTCCCAGGGCGGTTCGGGCAACCTTCGGAGCGAGGTGAGTGCCAGGGTGCAGCCAGTCGGCTTCGATGCCTTCCAGACCCCACTGGTCGGGCGGCGAGCCTCCCATATACCCTCTCCCCTCCCCATCGCCCCGCGTCCGTCTCGGGGGAGCCTGGAACCGTGCCGGGGCCACTTCATCTATCTCTCAGCTGGTGCCTCGGCTTGCGGCTTGCACTGATTGCGATTCCACTGACGGGCGCCTCCTGTGTGTCGGTCGGTGTTGGCAGGCTCTTTCCTGCGAACAAAGCTCGTTCCAGGGCCAGATCTCAGTCATGGTCTTGGCTTACCCTTTTTAAAAACACTCTGAGAGCACCAACCTTTCTGTAGGTTATCATTTTAAAATCTGACACATGATCTCACTAGTTGCCCAGGATGGCCCCGAACTCACTCTAGCCCAGGCTGACCTTGAATTTGAACTCCTGCCTTGGCCTCCCAAGTAGCTGAGCTGGCAGCCCTGCCTGTGCTACCAGGTCTGGCTCTGTGTAATTTGTTTCCACTCTTAGATACATGTGTGTGCTTCTGTTTAATACACGCCCTTCCCTGCTGTTAAATTCTGTAATGGCAATGTCTTGGTAACTGCTTAGCTCCCGATATAATGTCTGTACACAGTAAATATTAACAAATCTGTGAAAAACAGGCCCTCTTCTGATGAGCACTTTGACTCTGTAATGGAGGCATTTCAGCAGAGGGGTCATCCAAGAGTGTGGACCCTGGAGGTGGACCTATAATCCCAGCACGCAGGTGGTGGAGGCAGGAGGATCAGATTGTTAAAGGCCAGCTCAAAGTATGAGCCCCTGGTTCAAATAATGAAACCAAACCAGAATCAACAGTGGCAGTCCATATTACCTCCCAAGCCACACAAGGTGGGACAACTTGCATTATATTGTTTCTCTTCAAACAGTTGAACTTACACTATAGCATCTGTGAAGACAGAGTGAATTGGGGCATTAAAATGGGTTGACAATGCTGGGATCGACTACAAAGGTGTATTGTTAATTATTAAGTGATCAGCAGTAACATTCTGACACATAATAACATTTCAGGGCAGATGCATTAATAGTAACAGCCTGCCTCCGCCAGTGGAGGATTGCCCTGGCGTGTCCTGGGGGTTTCCTCTTGGTTAGACTGATGGCTAGTTAACAGAGGGGGTTTGCACCCCAGTTCAGTGCCTCCCACCTCTCCATTGCCCTTCACCATTTGCTGGGTGACACCTAAGCCCAGGTTTTCTGATCAAAGCAGTTACTGTCTATCCTCAGGGACAACTTGCTTCTTCAGATTTGTGTCCTAAGGCCCAGGAGTGGGGCCCTGAAACCCTGGAATGCCTCTCTCTAGACTTGCCTTCTGTGAGAGGATGGGAAGGAGAGTCAAGGCCGGCCCCGGGCTTGCTCTTATTGAATGTCCTTTGGAAGTGGCAAAAGCACATTGCGTGTTTGCTCGTTTGCGTCCCATCAGCGCACTCTTGGAGTCGGCGATTTCCCTGCTTGTTTGGTGCTGACCTTGAAGGGGTCAGAATTGGAAAGTGATGGTCTGGAGGGTGAGAGCCTGACTGAGAACTTGGGCTGAGGGGATTCTGGGTCTGTTGGGACGCTCACACTGAGTTGCTTACTGCTGTGGGAATTGGGAAGCGCTGAGAGGGACTATTTGTGTGAAAGCATGGGAATAAAAAGGTGTGTTTAACACACCAAGCGGCACTACCCCCCCCCCGAACCTCCATGTTACTTTATTGGCTCTTCCCAGGAGAGGAAATGGGACGGCAGAAAAGTTCAGCTGCTGAGTAAAATCTCACTATGATGACCTGACAGGTTATGATTGTCTGACTCCGACACTGGCGCTTTTTGTGAGCTACATCACTTACCCGAGGTCTGCTAAATGCTGTGGAAATGTTTTCCAGTTGTATTAGGTACCTGACAGTGTTGACCAGTGCGTCTTTGAAATGCTTGTTGTGTAGTCATGGACAGGACCAGTAGTTCCATTAGGTGTGTGTATTAATTTATGTACTTATTTTAGTGATGTGTGTCTGTGTGCATTTCTGTGCACTGTGTGCATTCTGGTCCCTGGAACTGGAGTTACAGGTGGTTGTGAGCCACTATATGGGTGCTGGGAACTGAACCTGGGTTCTCTGTAAGAGCAGTAAGTGTGCTTAACCACTGAACCATCTCCAGCTAACCCTCCCCACCCAGGAAAATGTTTTTTTTTTTTTTCTTTTCTTTTTGACAAAAAGTGAAGTGCTTGGAGGGAAATGCAGTTCCCTTTAACCTCGGCTCTTACAACCCCTTGACTGAGAGTTCTCAGCACTGACACGTCTCAGCATCCTTGGTGGACCGTGTCACAGATGGAGTTATTGGGATCTGATTTAGGGGCATCTGACTAAGCTAGAAGTCATCCCATTCACATACCGAGCGAGTGGGATGAGTACATTAAAAGAGGGCTTCCTGAGAGGTTTTTGTTTTAAAAAACCGAGCCAGAGGCACATGGAGGGAACAGATGTAGCATTCGTACTAATTGTAGATCCAGCTGACAGCCAGAATTGATGGCTAACTAGTGAGTGATGCATTGTGGAAACCCAGTCTGGCCCATAACATTTTTTTTTTTTAAGATTCATTTATTTTTCATTCATGTACATGTTCTGTGTACTAAGTGTTTGCAGAGCCCTTGGAAGCCAAAAGTGGGCATTGGATCTTCTGGAACTGAAGTTACAGACTGCTGCCAGCTGGATCTACTATTAGGTCCTGGACTTGATTCCAGATCCTTTGGAGGAGCAGCCAGCACTCTTAACCCCTAAGCCATTGGTCCTGTCTCCCAAGAACAGTCTTGATAGCACATTACAATCACATTAGGTATCAAAAGTCAAAACCAATAGCTGACCCTGATCAGTAAACACCGCTGTGAGCAAAAGTTGGTCAGAGGAATAGAATCATCCTTTCGATTTGTGAAGACCACACTGGTTACAATGTGGGTAACAGACTGGTGGGGACTGAGGGAGTTTGGGCAAACTGGTGGTAAGGTGTGTGGTTTAACACACAGAATAGTCAAATCCGGTGATGACTGGATTTGGAAGGGCAGACTCTAGAGGGAGGAAATAAGCCAGTAGGGTTTAATTTGACTAGAAGGAAGGGGTTCGAGAGGACTGTTAGAGATGTGTTTGTTACTGGCCACACAGCCACATGGATATTCCTGTCTACTGAAGACAGCCCCCGTTCACTCCCCGCAAGACACAGTTTTTCTGCCTAGCCCTGGCTGTCCTGGAACTCTTTCTGTAGACCAGGCTGGCCTTGAACTCACAGAGATCTGCCTGCCTCTGCCTCCGGAACTGGGATTAACGGGTTGGGATTAACCTCCCAGCCTGAATATAGGTTTAAGTTGGCAAGAATCATGAATTGGTTACCTCGTGATCTTATGAGATATTCCATGTGATATAATATTATGATTTATGCTGTATCTAAAGTCCTTTTGAGAGTTTCAAGAGAATTCATGATGAGAATGAGCAACTGTAGGCAGCCAGGTCTAGAGATCAGGTGATGGATAGTAGCAGAAAGTGAGGGTGGGGAAGTCTTGAGGGATGTGGAGAGGGCCAGTAAAAGGAAGTGCTAGGACTGATTTTATGGGCGGCACTGGAAAGGAACTGGAGGAGCAGAATCAATGCTTTATGATTATAAATAAATTCCCTCAGCCACACAAGCCTGAAAGATAAGTTGTTCGGGCACAGTATTTATAATAAAATTGAGTGAGGTGGCTCAGGGCTTATATTGCTCTTGCAGAGGACCTGAGTTCACTTTCTAGCATTTATGTTGTCTGGCTCACAACTGCCTGTAATTCAAGCTCCAGGGAATCAAATATCCTTTCCTAGCCTCTGTGGGCACTGCATGCATGAGTGCAAACCCATACATAGATGCACATCCATATATATAATTAAAAATAGATCATACATAGACACACACACATATATAATTGCAAATAGATCATGAAAAAGAAATTTTAAAAATTGAGTAATATCATGACACTGGAATTGAAAAGCTAGAGATGTAACAGACCGATGATCACTAAGTGAAGAACACACATCTGTGTGCAGCCCTGGCACATGCTGTGACATGCCATGAACGGATGTGATGGCATGGCACATGTCATGTGTTCCCTCTTTGTTTACATTTTAGTTTATTTTGGGGGTGTGTATATAGATGAGAGGAAAACATCCAAGGATTCTCCTTTACTCTCTGTTCCAGGTCATCAGGCTTGGTGGCAAGTGTCTACTGTGCCATCTTGTCCTTCCATTCCGCACCCCTCCCCCACAAGGTATCACTATGTAGCCCTGAAACTTCTTAAATCCTGACTGATTTAGTAAGAACAAAAGTAATTATTTAGTATTTCTCTCATACTAAAATTGAAGAGTTTGGGAGGTGTTTAAGAGGCATGGATGGCTGTTCCGTTCTGTTCCGTTTTCTCTTACTATCATCCATTAGTGTTCCAGGATCTGGCATAGACTCTTAAACCTGGGTGCATAGAAATACCTGGGGCATTTACTAAAGCCATATTCCCGGAGATTCTGACTGAATCTGTCATAGGGTCCATCCTCCATGGCTAAGTGAGCTATAAGTGGAGGTGACAGCCATTAGTCTGCTGTCCCTAAACCACCGCCGGCTTCTTCAGTGGGCCATGTTCTCTCACAGCCATTGTGTCATTCAGATCAGGTTCCTGAGGTTTCTCCTACAGGCAGCTCTCCCTGCCTCTTCCGGTCCCTCTCTCTCTGGTCTTAGTCAGTGGTCTTTTTCTTGTGTTTACCTTCCTTTGATTTATCATGCTTTTTGCCTGTTTTTTCCCCCCACATTGAACTAAGAGACCCTGGGAAGAGAACTTTTAATGTGAGACTTCTGCTTAGCAGTCTGTATAGCACACAGTCAATTTTTAAGTATTTGTGAAATAATGAAAGAAGGGAAGCCATGACTTTTTTTTATGTTGTGACTTAGTCAGGAATGATCTCTCCTTCTTTGTGCATTCATGGACATTTCCTGTGACCCTCCCATCCAAACATTTTGCCATTACTAATTGGCAAGAATAACCAAGACTGGTCTGGGCAGTCAATTCTGGAATAAAAACAGCCAGTGACTGAGCATCAGGTAATCCTAGGTTCACATTCTGACCAGTTTGGGGACTTGGAAAAATTCAAGATGCTTGACTTCTTCATCTGTAAAACATGGGGATGACATTTCCTGCACAGTGGTATCACTGAGACTCAATAAAATAGCTCTTGTAAGCTGGCTAGCCCATAGCAAGTGTTACATTTTGAGTTCCTGTCTTTGGGAGACTCCATGGCATGACAGAGCTAAATACTTGCAGAGTCCAGCTCTGCTGTTTATTAGCTGTGTGCCTTTGGGCATATTATGATGCTCAGAAGTCTCGTTTGGAGCATGGACAAAAACACAATTGTCCCTATGGGGCACTATTTTATCATCCCTAATGCTATTCCTAATGTCATTACTAAAGGTGGCATGATTTTAGCTATACTGAAATTTTGTTGCATGTTCTGAAAACAATCTTGAATTATCTATAGATTATCATTTGTATGGAAGTTCCCTTTTAGTTTGTTTTCTACACAGGCACTGTACCAGTGAGCTGAGTTCCTTAGTTCTGCAGGTCAGTCCCCCAGCCCCCAGTGGTACACACCCAGGTGGCCCTCCTTCATAAACGTGTGTATACATTCTGAACACATGCTTTCCCTGTGTAACCTGAGCACTGTCCACCTCAGGGGCTCTTTGGATCCACCTCCTCTCTGCCTCAGCTAGGTAGTCTTTTCAGATTGTCTTGCCCAGGATGTTCAGAGAGGCCACAGCCTTGGCCTGTCATGCTCCAAAAGGACAAAATGGACTCAGCGTTGTGAAAGCTGAAGAAGAAAATGTTTGGCGGCGGGACTTCAGTCTTCAGGGAAAGCTGCAGAGGCAGGAGGTTTTCCGCCAGCAGTTTAGACAGTTTGGCTACTCTGACTTCGCTGGGCCCCGGGAGGCCCTGGACCACCTGCAGAAGCTTTGCCAGCAGTGGCTGAGGCCAGAGGAGCACTCCAAGGAGCAGATCCTGGAGCTGCTGGTGCTGGAGCAGTTTGTGGCCATCCTGCCTGTGGAGCTGCAGGCCTGGGTGCAGGAGCATAGACCTGGAAACGGAGAGGAGGCTGTTACTCTGCTGGAGGAGCTGGAGAGAGAATTTGATGAACCTAAACAACAGGTAAGGTTCATCAGGTTTTGTGTTGGTTTTGATCTGTTGTGGCTAATAGAGAGCCATTATGAGTACCATCGCCTCAGTGCTCCGGGAACTTAACCAGTTTCCTGTCTCTTGGCAAATGAATTATTCACCCATTAATTCAGAGTGGGGCGGGGGTGGGGGGGGTGGGGTGGGGGGGGGTCTGTAGTGCTTTCCTTTTTTCTCTAGTCATCTGAAGAGTTTTCTGGTTCTTTTGTCCATTGCTGTAGGGCGTTTCTCCTGTAGTCCATCCTCAGTCACAGTGCTGGTACTTGTTACTCTAGGACACAGCTCATGGCCATGAGATGATCTGCAGAGAAATGACACTCATGGGAACACAGACGTCTCCAAGTAGCCCACTGCAGTCCCTGGAGAACCATTGCAGGAGTGAAGCCCAGGAGCCCCGGGGTTTCCAGGAGCGAGATGAGGCAACCCTACCATTTAGGGTTGAGGAAGGAGGTGAGGACTATCACATGTGCCAAGACTTTCTTAATGGCTGTCACCTGTATTGTCACTAAGTAGTGTGGGAAATCCTGCTGTCTTTGGCTCAGCCTACAACCTGAGTTTCAATATAATTTTTTACACTTGGATTAAGAATTAAAGTCTTTAATAAGATTTTCTAATGTGCCAGGTGGTGGTGGTGCAAGCTGGGTGGTGGGGCACACACCTTTAATCCTAGCACATGGAAGGCAGAAGGAGGCTGATCTCTGCGAGTTCGAGGCCAGTCTGGTCTACAAAGTGAGTTCCAGGACAGCTAGGGCAGTTACACAGAGAAACCCTGTCTCGTAAAAAACCAAACCAAACCAAACCAAAAAACCCAAAAAGAAAGAAAAGGTCTTTCTGGTGCCATATTCCAAGACTGATACTGTTTTTTTTTTAAGTATTTTTGTCATTCTGACAATGCAGTTTCTAAGAGTGACAAGAATATTGTATCAGTAACTAAAGTCTCATAATAACTTGGAAAAGGGAAAACTTAATATTCAAAATTGTCAGCTGCAAGCTAGATGTTGTGGCATACACCTATAATACCAGTACTGACTTGAAAGACTGAGAGGTAGGAGCCTGCATGTTCCAGGCCAGGCTGGACAGCATAACATGATGGTCTCAAGAAGAAAAGTAGCAAGGCATTGACCACTATAGTATCACTAAAAGTCAAACTCTAGAACGTACAGGGCTAAGGTGGAAAGTCCTCAGAAGAACAAGTATGCAAGAGGTGCCATGTTTCATCTGTTCCTGCTAGGGCTGAGATCATGCTATTGTTAGAGACAATATCGTAGCAGATGGAGGTGGAGATGTGCTTTGAAATGCTCAGTAGAATAGATTCAGTAGAAGCCACCTTAGAGTACTAAAATCCTGCCAGAAAATTTAACTTAGCATAGAATTTGCTGGGAAGCTGTCAAGGTGGACAGTTTCTTTGAAATTTATTGGAACATGTGTGGTTGGGTGTCTTGCATGCTGTAGGAATGAACACAAAGGTCTTCTTCTCCACTGTTCTTCCAACTCTCTCAACTGATAAAATGTATGTGCTAGCATAATGCCAGTATTATAGATAGGACAGTGATAAATTTGAAGTAAGGAGGCAATAAGTTGAAAGTATCACAGGTGCCCAGGGTTAGTGCCAAAAGGACTTTAGGTTATTGACAACATCTCTGTGGACAGCAGCCACATCAGTTTATTAACCTGTTGTTACATCTAACTGCTTCTGACTTCATTTTCACCAAGCAACCTTGTTACAGTCCCAGGAAGCTTAACTATATTAAGTCAAGTCTATGTAATTTACATTATTAATAGAGTTATACTGTATGGTTACAAGTGTTTGGCTAGTATGAGTCTACCTTAAGAGGTAAATCTGTTCATTGTATGTTGATATAATTAGGTATAAGGGTACAGAAGCCTGAAGGCCTAACCTTGGCAGTTCACCAAAGGAATCATATCAGTTATCTACTGAGGTTTCTTTAGAAACACCCACTGAACCTTACTCTACTTACCTACTCTGATACTACCCTCTTAAATACCCTGTGTATTAAGCAGTAAGCATATTAAAATGCATTTAAAAATGATCTTATCATATTGCCTTACAGGGGACTATCTATTAATACATAATAATAGCTAAATGTCTGTATTAGAGGTGTTTTTGTTTTGCTGTTTTGTTTTGTTTTGCTGAGGATTTTTTATTTTTTCAAAACAGGGTTTCTCTGTGTAGCCTTGGCTATTCTGGAACTCACTCTGTAGACTAGGCTGGCCTTGAACTCAGATTTACCTGCCTCTGCCTCCCAAGTGCTGGGATTAAAGGCATGTACCACCACAGCATGGCATCTGTATTAGACTTTAATCAGTATAATGAGAAACCTGAAACAATGAACACTATAAAGAAAAAAGTGGTTTATTAACTCATGCGTCTATAAGTTTAAAGCTGTGTTACTTTCACTGGCTCGTTTCTGGTTAGGGCCCTTTCTGTAGCATCATATCATAATGTGGGTTGTGAGAGTACAGACAGACGTGATCACATAAAAGCAGGAAGCAGAGATAGGCTTTTAGAACAATCCTTGCAAGAACTAACGAGTTTCATGAGAAACATCCCAATTCTTTTTGAGGGTGTTGCAGCTGATTGGGATCTCCTACTAGGCCTGCCCTCTTAAAGGCTCCATCAGTTGCTACATGATTGTATTGGGGACCAAGCGCCCAAAAGATAAGCCTTAGAGAACAAACAGCATGAAAACCATAACAAAGTCTAAATCTTTTATAGCACCCCTCTCCCCCCACAACTTCTTTTCTTTCTCTATTACTGTTTTTTTTCAGACAGCCTTGCTACATAGCCTTCACTGTCCCAATATGTAGACAAAGCCTGTGTCTCTGCCTCCTGAGTGTATTGGGATTAAAAGGTGCACGCCACACCTGGCCCTCTGCTTAGTTTTATTAAGGTCTTGACAGTTCTAACTACCTTTATAGGTTGAAGCTCTAGCTCTTATCTTAGTACCTTAGGATGTGACTGTACTTTTTGGACATGATGTTACTGTGTTCCTTATCCATTATGCCTGCTGTCTTTTTGGGAACAGGAAAAAAAAATCTTGTTTTTCTGATTTATGCATCTAAGGTCAAACTTTTTCTGGTTACACCATTTCACTTCATGTAGTATTTATTTTTTTGTTGTTGTTTTGTTTTCAAGACAGTGTCTCACTATGTAGCTCTGGCTGTCTTAGAACTCACTGCGTAGACCAGACTGACCTGGAACTCACAGAAATCCACCTGTCTCTGCTTCCTGAATACTGGGATTAAAGGTGTGCACCACTATGCCCAACAAGTGCACTATTTTTATGCCTTTATTATATACTAGTGTTTTGTTGGGTATTTTATTTATATATACTTTTTGAGACAGTGTTTTAGTATGTAACCCTGGCTGGCTTGGAACTCAGTATGTAGACAAGACTGGCCTCAAACTCAAAGATCTATCTAGTTGTCTTTGTTTCCTGAGTGCTGGGATTTAAGTTGTTTGCCACCACCTAGCCATTTTCCATAACTTTTAAAGATAAACACAACCTTGAATAAGTTGTCACTATAACTAATGATTTAACTTTCTGAAATCCAAGAACAGTACAAATTTCATTGTTCAGGTCTTATCTTTGCTGTCTCTAATTTCTCATAAGAAATGGTAGAAAAGGAAGCCAGCTTGCTCTCAGCTTTTGTTAGACATTCAGGATAATGCTGTATTGTTTCCAAGGTGTTGTGAAACTTGCATATGAGAAATACTTATTTTTATGTAAAAGCATTGCTTTTCCAAAGATGAATTAAAATAAGTTTTAAATTATTTTTTTGTCTCAGTGCAACTACAGCTCTGATTCCAAAAAGACATGCAGGTAACTTGGGGAAAGACCTTAAAATTTGAAGTTAGCCATCATCTTTAATCTTGACCACCAAGTAGTAATCCCATCGTTTCCCATAGCTCTTGAAAGCTTGTTTCCTGATTGGTAAAATGCAGTTTTAGAGAATTTTTGAAGAAATAAAAATAATTTAACAGTTCAGACTTTACCCTTAAAATATTAAAATAATTTAATAAATATTAAAATAATTCAATGTATATTAACTGTCTCTAATAGTTCCTGCTTAGAGGTACTAGAAATTTAGAAATAAAAGGGCATGCTGTAGGATAGCTGGATCTGCCCTTAGGCAGTTGTCTGTATCCATTTTGAGCATTTATATTTGTGCGGTGAATTACTAATACTTCCACCTGACCCAGAATGAGTAAGGAACCCAGAGTATTTCTTTCTAAATGCTTTGTGTCTTTCTCTACTGCTTATATTTATTTGCCCTATTTAGAACCTGCCAGAATTTGCAAATGCTGTCTTGCTCTTTCCTGCCCACCTCCCTGTGTCTAATACTTATCCCCCAAACACTGTATGGTATCATGTACTCTTCTACTTTGTTAGATGTAATGCTGATCTACAACTCTTAAGACATCTTATTCCTGGTTCTGTATCACCCCTTCTCCTTTCTCATATTATCTAATCTAGTACCGTTTCTGTCCTTTCTGGTTTATGATTGGCAATACTGTTTGTCACTTCTCAGTATTGTTTTCTTGTTCACTATTCAACGTCTCCAATACTTACGTTCTTTGTCCATTTTACTCTCCTCTATTGTCCATTTACTCTCCTATAATCTTCTATATTGGGAAGCTAATTGTCATTTCCCCACCCATATCCCTTTCCCAGTCCTGGAGATCAAACCCAGGCTTTGTGTTTACAAGCAATCTGTCACTGGGCTGTATCTAGCCCCCCCCTTTTTTTTAATGTGCATGAGTGTTTGCCTGCACGTATGCATATGAACTACCTGCATGCCTGGTCCCCACAGAGGCCAGAAGAGGGTGTTGGATCTCCTGGAACTGGAGTTAGAGATGGTTATGAGCTACCAGGTGGGTACTGGGAACTGAACTAGGGTCCTCTGCAAGAAGAGAATGCTCTCTCAAATCACCAAGCCATCTCTCGAGACCCAGCATTTCCCAGTTTCCTTTGGTTTGTTGTTCCTCCTCTAACTTTTTTAACATGAAAAAAAAAATGACACAGCCTGTTCACATTTTTAGATAGCAAGATGGTGGCTGACAAAGTATTGACAGCAAAGCAAGAAATTGTTGAATGTGTCCCAGCAGTGGCCGTGGCATCCCCAGGAAGACTTCCTAGGGCAGCTTCTCCAGTACAGACAGCTGAACAAACTCTGCAGTATCTGGACACCAATGAGAAGCAAAGAGGAAATGATACAAGCAACAAAATGAGTCCACTTTCTTCCCAGGAAAGCTATCTCAGTCTGGCAGCCTTTACCAAGAAACCCTCCGCAGAACAGAGCACCTTGGAGTGTAATGAAGGGGAAGGACTTCTCAGTCTAAACTTACATGGTACCGCACAGCCCAGAACACCCACAGGGAAACTGCTCTATGAGTGCTTGGATTGTGGGAAAGCTTTCTGCCATAGGTCAAAGCTGATTAGACATCAAAGAAGTCATACTGGAGAGAGACCTTATGCATGTAAAGAATGTGGAAAAGCCTTTGGTTTCAGAACAGATCTTGTTCGACATCAGAGAATTCACAGTGGTGAAAAACCCTACAAATGTTCTGACTGTGGAAAAGCTTTCAGGGGCAGCTCCGGGCTTATTAGGCATAGGAGAATTCATACTGGAGAGAAACCTTACGGTTGTGATGAATGTGGGAAAGCCTTCAGCCAGAGCTCTACTCTTATTCAGCATAAGAAGATTCACAGTGGAGACAAAGGCTATGAATGTACTGAATGTGGTAAGGCTTTTAGGAGAAGTTCTGTTCTTATGGAACATCAAAGAATCCATACTGGTGAGAAACCTTATGAATGTAATGAATGTGAAAAATCCTTTAATCAAAGCTCAGCACTCACCCAGCACCAGAGAACCCACTCTGGGGAAAAACCTTATGGATGTTATGAATGTAGGAAAATATTTAGGCATAGGTCAGGCCTTATGCAGCATCAGAGAACACACACCAGAGTTCAACTCTGTGGGTAAGAGTTGTGTAATTGTGAAATGCAGGGAATTCACTTTGAAGGTTAGACTCCACAAAAAAATAGAAGTTTCCCGACTGTAGGACTTTTGTCTCTCCAGCCTAGTTCAGTTCTGTAAAAAAATCCACACAAAAATGCTTCTATATCTAGATCTTGTCAATGAAGAATGGTGAAAAGACTGACCCATTTCTGAATGAGGACTCTCACCAATCTGCTCTTCATCCCATTCCTCACTCCAGATGAGCTGTCTTTGAGCACCTTCATGTAAGTCCGTGACTGAGACACAGATCCTGCAAGGTCTCCAGTAAGGTGGCAAAGATCCCTGTTCAGCAAAGTGTTTGTGTCTGACGGGAGTAGGCATGTTTTAAGAGTTACTGAACTCTGACATGTTGAATTGAGCTATGAAATGTCATGTCCTGAATCAGTTTAATAGCTGAGGGATGGAAGCTCATTCTGCCCCCTTGCCAGTTCTTTCCACCCTGAGTTTCCTGTTGCAGTCTGCACCCTTATTTGGTACCTCCTGGGCTTAACCACTGGAAGAACAGACTTGGTCACCACACTCTCAAAATAAAGGGCTAATGGATATACAGATTTATTGGACAAGTTATTACGGTGGGAGTATGGCAATAACTGCCAGATAAATTCAGTGTTCTGTTGGAAGACATTTCAGAGATGCTTTACTTAATCTACGAGGTAACTAGAGATTTCCTGGGTGTGACATGTCATTGGAGACCTAAGATACAGAAGTTGCCTGGCTATTGGCAGAACAGAAGCAGAGTTTTTCATACGTACATGGCATGATGAGAAGAGAGGGTCTGGAGACATTCCTGTTGCTTGACTTCAATTCCTGCTGAAATTTTCTTTGACCCCAGTTCAGAAGCCAGGTGGGTTTCTTTTCCTGTTTGTAATAGACTGAGTTGGATACCTTGTTTCAGGTCATAAGACCTGTATGATCTAGATGTATTCAGAATTAGCATGGTCAAAGAAACCCCTGTGTTTGGAAAGTCATACATGTATACCAAGGAAACAGCATAAATTGGAAGCTGAGGGACACTGAAGTCTGGAGTCTCCCTTAGCATTAGGTTTGCAGATGATAAGCCACTTGAGGGAAGTACATATTGAATCAATCTTTCAGACTCTACAAAAACTTCCTTGATTTAAATTTGGCAGTTTTAGTTAACCCACAATCACTGAAGGTAATTTTTACTTAGGAAAATGCAGAATTGGCGAGAATAGCTATTGTGAATAGGGGAGGTAGGCCTGGATGTGGTTTTTGCTTCCAAAGGTTGTACAGTTATCATTTAAGCTCTAACTTAAAGGGATAATTCAAATGGACAGTGAATTGCCTTTTCTTATAGATGACAAGTGAATGGATCAATGTTTTAAATATCATTTAACCCTTTTTCTAATTGTGAGTGTTGAGAAATATAAATCATCAATAGTCCTATTACCCATAGCAAAACTAACTTCCTATTAGTGTTTTTCCGTAATCCTAATACTTTTGGGAAAAATCTTTAGTATAATTTTTGCTATTTTTAATACTTATATGTTCAATATGCACTCCAGTTGCTTAGTATCAGTATGTAATGGAATGTATTGTAATAAAACTGAAAGTTTTGCTTTTAAATCATTCAGGTAAAGGAACAGAACATGAGTGTAGTTGGGCTGGAGGGTGGGAAGAGTGTGGAAAAAACGTAGGTAGCACACTTAGTTTCTAGTTCCTGGGTTAAATAAACAGCACCAGGAAGCTATGACAGCCAGACTTTTAAGGTTGAGTTGCTGGAGCATTGGAATGAAAATAAGAAACTTTTAAATTCCTGTACATACTAAATCCACCAAGATATCCTCCCTCCTCAATCCTAAGTGCTGAGAAAGACCTTGGGAATGACTACTTTTAAATTATGTGCATGTGAATGCAAATACCTACAGAGGCCAGAAGAGGGCACTGGATCCCCCTGAAGTAGAGTTACAGGGAGTAAACCACTCAATGTGGTTGCTGGGAAGGGAACTCTGGTCCCATACAAAAGCAGTACCTGCTCTGAGCCATCTCTCTAGTCCCATGTTTTGAGTAATCTTGAGACAGGGCTTCATATGAAGCCTAGGCTGGCCCAGGAGATGGGACTTTCCTCTTCAGTTGTTCACAAACAGAAGTAGGTTTTTGGGTCACTGTCAAATGACTGACTCAGTCCTCTCTCAGTGTTAGTTGCAGGCTGTGGAAATGAGGGAGAAAGACAGGTATGAAGCTGATTTAAGACCCATGTGAGGCAAGCACTGCTTCAGACTGCCACTGGAGCAAGAAGAAGAAAAGCACAGAGCAGAGAGAAGGACATTAGTTATTTCCTCTCCGAAAAGGCTGTTGAAACTGACCATAAGATCATCTTCAGCTCCTTTAACATGAGCCTATAGCTGTGAGCTAACAACTTGTTTATGCCTGCTGAATTCATGGAAAAGCACTCATGACAGAAGTTCTCAGCCACAAATCTTCATGCAGCCAACTTGCACAGGAATTTAGAATCTGAAGGGGATTCTTCGAATACTATGAAGTAGGTATGTCTGCATTGATTTCATCAACCATGAAAGACCAGAGTTAAGTTAGTTAAGACTTGAGAAAGGGATGTCCTAGAAGGCAAGGGCTTATTTTCACACCTATTTTGGGCCTTTGTTTACTACCTGCTCTGCCTAGGGCTGGGGAATCTAGGGATTAAGCTTGAGGCCTTAAACATGGTAAACTTATGCTTTACAACTGAACTGTCTTCTCTTGCCCCTTCCTCTACAAACAGTATTAGATTTTGCAGTAAAACTTGAACTATAAAAACAACACACTACCTGTAACTTCATCACCCAGGAGTAACCAGTATAACATCTTGACATTGTGTATTTCCATTATTTTTAATGCATAATGTTTTACACGGATCATGTTGTATATATTGTGTATTTAATATATCATGAATGTTTAACATGTTTTAACAGCTTGTAAGGATGCATATTCAGGGTTTCTTAAGTGTATTTCTGGGTAGAATGTCAAATTCCAAAGCAGTGCTTAAGGCTTCTGGCCAGAGATATGTATTCACAGACCATTAGCAGCAAGAGAGTCCTAATTTGCTCGAATCCTTGTTAATTTTATATGGAAAACAAATACCACCTTCACCCCTATTCCAATATGACTATAACTTGTAAGACTGGACATATATGTATTGTTCACAGACACATCTGTGATTTAAATGTTAATGGGACTTTTTCATGGATAGTAGTAAAGTGCTTCCAGAATAGAGTTCTGAGTTAAAATTCTGACCTTTTAGCTATGATAGCCTCCATTTCCTATGTGTAAAATATGATTTGTACTAATGACTAACACATACATAAAGCCCTTGGCAAATAACCATTACATTTCCTTCTGATCTATGTAAAGAGCTCTATGGTATTTCTCCCTTTTCTAACATCTACTTAACGTCTACATTAGACATTTAGTTCATTATTTTTATTAGTACATACTCACCTATAAATGTCCAAGACAGCATTACTTTTGTATCTTCATAATAATTATTTTTCTGTGTTTCTACATAGATTTGATTTTGGTAAGGTATGTTATTTCTCCAAACCACTAGGTCTTTGAATTGACTTTTTCTCCACAGTATTTTTGAGATGGGGTCCCATCATGTAGCTCAAACTGACCAGGAATGCCTCATCCTTTCGTCCCCCTGTTCAGAGTGCAGGGATAGCAGGCTTCTTGAGTTGATCAGCTTTCCATCTTGCACTGCACCAGCCTTACAACACTCTTCCTGATGGGTTCCTCAGAAGAGGGAAAGACCTGACAAAATTACCCCTTTCTGTTGTTACTTCTCTAAGCATCGTCCTTAAAATATTCAAGATACTAATAAATATTGCTGACATAAGACAAAGTATGTGCAAAGCATTTGGAGAAAACGCCAAAGACCAGAAACTGACAATGTTTTGAGCACCTGAGCAAGGCAATTGTGCTCAGGTAGAGAAATCATAATGGAGCAGCCTTAGAAAGAGTTGCTATGGCATCTTCTAACATAGCAACTCTAATACTGTCTAGCGAACCCAGAGTCTGCACCTAGGCTGTCTCTTACATATTGCACTCCTACCACTCTCCCTGTAGACGTTTAAACACTGTCTCAGGCTGTACCAGGAAACCACTTACTAGCCCATTCCATTAGGCCACATTACCAAGACAAAGCTTTTCATGGTGCTGTGACCAAGGATTCTCTCTAGGCTTTTATCTATTAGAAACTTCTTCATAGGCTCATATGCACTTCTTGAGAGTCTGGCTGTAGTCATACTTCTCACAGATGTGATGCTAATTCTGAACTCAATAGGCAGTGTTCCATGTTTTGTTCCTGGTGTTAAAAACAAAACAAAAATATTGCTTCCTTTATTATAACCTGGCCTTCCTTCCTGATTAACTCCTCATTCTTTATATCATTTTAGTTTCCTTTATCCAAAATTCTTGGACAAGAGGGAAATGGGGAAAGTGCCAGGCAGTGGTGGCGCATGCCTTTAATCCGAGCACTTGGGATGCAGAGGCAGGCACATTTCTGTGAGTTCAAGGCCAGAATGAGTACCAGGACAGCCAAGGCTATACAGAGAAACCCTGTCTCAAACCCAAACCCCACTCCCAAAGGTTGTAATAGACTGACCATACTAAAGTGTCATTACCTGACTGGTAATTGCTGTTAGAATACCGTAGAAATGATCTTTTGTCATTATATTTCTAGTCCCTGGTACAAAGCAGGTATTAAAAAAAAAACAGGACTGAGCACTTTCCTAGCTTGTGCCACCCTAAGTTCAATACCCAGCACAGACGTGGGGAATGGACAGGGCCCCCAGCTTGTATAAACTAATTTGTATCTTTTTCTTCTCTAGCTCATTTCATTTTGGGCCTATCTTGGGATCAACAAATCACTGATGAAACTGTTTCCTCATTTTACTTGTTGACTAGCTACCACTGAGTCAAAACTTGAGTTTCTTAAGCAGTTCCTCATGCCATCCATATTATCTCACAAACCTGGTACAAACAATCAGATGTAGTGACAGACAGAATGAAGCCTTTTCCATGACATTCTCATAGAAAATAAGATCTCACTATTACATTACTTTTTTTTTTCCTGAGTATTCCTAATGTTAAGAGCATAGCTCAAAGTAATGGCCTTATATCTTGTGGTAAATCACAGCAAGTTTCAAAGAAAATTTGCACTGCATTGGGAAGTGCTACACAAAGCAAGTTAGATTGACTAAAGACCATTTGTTTTTAAAACTACCTTTATGGAATCTTGCTCCAAAGTCAACCTTCTGGCTAATACAGAGGAAAATATACTATTTACCAGTCATTGTATTAAGTTACTTAACAGCATGGACTCTCTGATGGCGCATCAACACTGATCTGTGCCTAAAAGCCTTCCCACATTCATTACATATATAAGCTTCATCCCCAGAATGGATTCTCTGGTGCTGAACAAGGGCCGAGCTCCTTTTGAAGGTTTTGCCACAGTCATTACATTGATACGGTTCCTCTCCACTGTGAATTCTCTGATGTCTTATGAGGTTCGAATTCAGACTGAA